GGCTGAAAGAAGAAATCCAGTGTGGTAGAACTTCATACAGCCTGCATCAGACAAGGCTCAGTTAATAAATTGTATTTTTTTGTTTTAAATTAAGAATTGTGTAACATTTGTTATCATTCTTACTTTTATCAAGTTAATTTAGGAAGAAAAGGCACTATCGGCTTCAAGAATCTGCCAAAAATAATTGGCTGCATGTATCAGCGTATCGGTTAGACTGATATAAAAAAATCGGTATCGGTCTTAAAAAACCTGTATCGGTCTATCTCTAGTTTGTCCCTTTGAGATCCGTGGGTTTTCATATCTAAAAGCTTGTGATTAATCCAAGTTTGATTAATAATTCCCCCTGGAAACACTAAATCTGTCTGCTCAGACGAAACTGGACGAAACCGGAAGAACTTGCAGGTCTAGTTCTAGCCTGGTTTAAACCAGACACTGTCCCTCACTTTGCTTCGTACAAGGGTCTGGACTTCCTGCATAGAGAAGCGTTTCTTGCAGGAGGCGTGGCCTCTGCTGAAGTTTAAAATGATTGGATCAGTTGGTTGCGAAGTATGTCGCTGTGACGGAGGCTAAGCTAAGAAGCTAAACCGGAAAACGTGTGTGCTGTAAACAACCCTACTGAGAGGAGAAAAGTACCAAGCCGAACGAGACGACTGTAAATGAGAGCTGCTGCTTTGTCAGACAAATTTATTTTAATTTGGAAGCCTTATCAACACGGACTGGCTTCATTCTCTTACTCCACTGCCGCATGCTAAAATAACTAGCAGACACTGTGCAGAACATCGACGTCATTCAAAACTCCGCCTTCTGTTTGCTGATTGGTCCAGGTAAAATAAACTACAAGCAGACACTGCGCAGAAAATCGACGTTCTGTTCTCTGATTGGCCCAGCTAAAAATCTGCCAGCGAAATCCATCTCAGTGGGAGAAGTCCCAGACGGAACAGTGAAGGGAAACTAGAATTGAGTGGAGCTGCGTAGGAAGGCAAGGGCCAGGCTAACAAAGAGTGAGACAGTGTGAGACTCTCAGGCCGAACAGCTTTACTCTTACAAAGCCAAAACGCTTTCAAAACTACCACAAGACCTAAAAAAGCAGTGTTGTCATCATGCAAAATCTCCGGTCGAAATAATTCCTGCAGACAGAAAAAACAAAACTTTTTCCTCTCGTTGGTTATCTTTGGACTCTGCCAAAGAGTACAGAGACTCAAGGGAGTTACCTGTTAACACAGGCAACTTGGTTTTTTGAAGGCGATGTTAGAAACTCACTCAAAGCGAGCAAAAATCACATTTAATCCTCAAAATAGTCCCACTGTGACTAGACTCTAACTTAATCTCTTTTTTTTTCAAACGTTAAACACATTTAACGATAAAAATAGGTGGAGAGATGGAGGAAGTTCAGGTGAGGTCTGAAATTAGTTTAGTGAAATATGCATTAGCTTGCTGACGCTTTTTAAACAGATTTTTTTTATCATGAGAAGAACTGGTTCATTGAAAAGAGAGAACAGGTGGAGCTTCAGGATAGGAGGTCTTGTTTAAAAACCATATTAATTATAACAGATCCAGAAAGAACTGGTGAGGACTGATGTCAGGTTGATTTTTTTTCCCATTATTTCCACAGATATAAGGATATGGGTGTTAGGTTGTGATTAAGTCTTTAGCTGCAGAACAACACCCCACTAGATTTCTGTACTTTTATCTGGTGAAATGCTTCTCCATAACGATCAATACGTGATCTTTTTTCTTGTTTAGTTTAAAATGAGCCACCTTTGGTCTCAGGAGCTGTACCTCATCTCTGAAGCCATTTTGCATGTTTAGCAGCAACGCAGGAACTGCACAAAGAGGACAAGAGGAGGGGGGGTTACAGAGCTGGAGCTCTTGAAATAAATTAGTGAAAACTTTACAGTAGTAAGGGTTACTGTACGTTGTGCTGTAAACAGAGCTGACATCATATGAGACGTAAATGCATACATCTGTAAATCAGTTGTATGATTAAAAACCTTAACAGATCCTTTTAGCTTCTGTAAGTAACTTGCTGGTGCTGTACATTACAGTATGTAGTGTTCTCTGTTGTAAATATGTTGATGTCATGCAGGGACATCAGAGGCAGGAAGTCAGTGAAGGAGAGGCAGGAGCAGACCAACAGGTAAGAGAGAAACAGAACAGATATTTTATATTAGAAAATCTTCTGATGGCAGTAATATTTGTAAATATTGCAATGATGATATCAGATGTGAAATATGTCTTTTGTTTCTTTCCTCTCTTTCTAATCTGTACTTCCTATTTTATGTGGCTTTTAGTATTTTTGGTCAGGTGTGAGCTTTTGCTGCAATAAGACCCTGTCCTACTGGCTAAATATTGCATTAGCATGAAAAATACAACTTCAAACCTCTGGAAGTACATTAGTCAACAATTATTGTGCATCCAGAAGTCCTTTGCAGCATGAGTATTGCACACACTGACATTGTGATGACAATATATCTGTTATACTGTGCAATCCTATTAGACTCTAGATATTTTGTTGGGTGGTTTACTCACATCCCCATTTTTTCAAGAAAAGATCCAATAGCTTTGCAGTGTAGTTGATTTATGTCATACTTCTGCTCAGACAATGTACGAATATGTCAGGTTTCCAATATTATGTCC